TGCTCGCCAACAACTCCTGTGATCATAATTTGCTCTCTAGAAACCAAGACAGAAAAAGGGATAGAAAAAGGCTGACGACACCGGCTGTCTCCAGTTATCGCAGCCAGCCAGTAGCACAACTGCCTACAGCAAGCACTGAAATCAGATTGTGTCATTGGAAAATTATGAGCTTGAACGTCTCCTCACTGCGAGGGAGGAAACTTGTGCAAAATTAAAGATTTGGATAGGAAAATATTAGAGGAACTTGGAACTCTGCAAAGTCAGAAGGATATAGTGAAGTCCTGTCCATCCTTCCCACAAAGGTCACTACTCTGGGCTTACTTAAGTCCTGAAGCCTTTATTACAGAATGCAACAATTTCACTACATGTAACCACAGTAAAGCAAAAAGTTCCCAAACTGTAGCATCTTTAAAAATGACTGTTCTGTTTGGAAAATAATTAGCTTAATTTCACAGTCAATTGGCACACAAGAATTCACTCACAGTTTTATGGTGCAAACGCTCAGAAGATGTGTGGGAGTATTTCCTTAGAAATAAATTCCTGAATCATAACTACTATGCTTGAACTAACACATTAATAAAACCATCAATAAATTCTTCAAAAGACATCCTCCAAGTGACAGTTTTCCATTATATGAAGAGGCAAAACAAGCAACACTTTGCTAGCTTAACAGCTCTTCTAGTGAAGATAACCATCCTCTTCGGCGAGAACTCTTTAAATACCACCCGATCCCGTAGTCCATGCACTCAGGACATGCAATCCTGTAAAAACTTTACAGCAATGTTAAAGGAACAGAAACCTAAGGAAAATGAAGATGCTCAAGGCACAAGACTACTTCTGAATTTTGTAAGGGTCTAGATATTAATACTAACAAATAGCAATATGTTTCTTTAGAAAATCTGCAAAATTCAAGAAAAAAAAGCTTAAAATAAAAGGCAGACCTGGTATTTTGGCAAGTCTGTGGAGGAAATTCTTCTTGGCTCAGTCACGAAGAAAGTTGTTATTTATAAAAGCTCATCCTTCAGTTTACTTTGGAGAATTGCTGTTCCAAGTTAATGTGGCTTGGGGAGGAAAATGTATAAGAAAGTTTCATGCAAGGAATGACAGACTGACATCCTGAACAACCCAAACAGGATGAGAAAGAAAAAAACCTACTGTGTTTTATGCTAAACAGAGAATCTAAATTAATAAATGGAAACTACCATGAAAAAATGGTCGTCTTCAAGCTTTGTGCTTGACTACACTACCCTGTAGAAACTGAGAGCTTAATCACATTCACAGTCTAGCATCTCAACTTAGTTTGCATTCTTTTGCACATCCTATTTGATTATTCTTTCTTCAATGAAGAAGATGTACTCTTCATGGCAGACATTATGAATCTCTTGCTTCTGTTGCTATTTCCATGATGTTAGATTACCATTAATAAGAATACTCCAGACACTCCTTTTTATTTTAATCCATAGCACAATCAAATTGAAAGACTCTCAGCAACACCCCACCAGCATCCGGAAAAGAATCAACTAATTTGGAAAGAGTTTTCTTACCCTTTCAATTAAAAAGAAAACCCACCCCAAATTGTATCTTTTTGAGGCCCCATTGATTCACATTAAAGTACAGTCTATTTGTGTATTTGGGACACTGTAGCACACCCTGCCTGTATTGGTAAGAACGTCTTTCCCACAGAAAGAAGCACCACTACCAAGTGTGAACGAGCAGTTAGTTGTTTTAAAAGTAAAGTTTCAGTGACTGCAACGTGCTTCTTTGTAATATAACAAAGTAAGCAATCCGGTATAATACAGGAGTAGGAGAGTATTTTTAATCTGTGATGTATACTGCCCCAAATAATCAAGGAATTAAGAGTGATGCAATGGTTACTTGTAAAATCCACCTTCCAAAATGTTGCTTGCATGTTGCTGAAACGCAACGCTGCTTGCAAGCAAGACCAACTGAATATCTTGCACAATTTCAGGAGAAAGATACTAACACTGAACTTTTTAGATGGACTCTCCTACATCAGCTTTTGCATTGCCAGAAGTATAGAGGCATTTGCAAATGGTACCCAAATTATCTCGCAGTGAGGGCTTTTAGACTTAACAAGCAGCATCTTAAAATAACTGAATAGATCAGAAAAGTGAATGAGCCTCAAAGAACAGAGAGTTCTATGTAACTTTTTTCTTCTTAGCTACTTATGAAAGAACATTCAACACCCATTTCCTCAGCAAAGGAGTACCTTTTCATCTTAGCTATGAACAATACAGATAGGGACATTTCTAAATAAATGAGGTAAAGAAAGAGCCCTAGACTATGAAGTCTGTGTTAAAGAATGAAGCCTGACACTACTAAATCAAAGACAACTTCAAGCTGAAATTTAAACACATCCCAAATACTCATTACAGAGTGCAGACACCCGCCATTATCCATTTTCACGCAAGAGAATAAATTTTTTTTCATGCACAGGAGCTAAGTTTGCAACACCTCTAGACTACTTCTGAATTCTAGCAGGAAAGTGAAGAACATCCAACCTAAGCAGAACCCTGTAGTTCAGCAACTTGGGAGATGGAGCAGTTCGCAAGAGGGTTGCTTCCACCTGCTGGAGATGGGAAATATTAATGTGCGACCAAAAGACCCTACTGCTTGTAGGGACCAAGACAGCAATGGTTTGGGGGAGCAGGGACGCTTTCACTTCACACTGAAAGAGAAGCAACCTCACCAACCCGTGACCAACTCTGATTTCACCCAAACCACGCATCTACACACAAGCATGCAAGAGGCTTGCTGCTGACCAGATGCCCAAGCGTTAAATGAAACCAACCATGCAACGGTCTCAAACCCGTTGAAATCATACCAAAAAAATCTCACAGAAGATAAGAAAATTTGACCTAAAATACATTCAGGGCTCCTCCTGCTTAGGGGAATCATGCAGAGACACTCCCTGCTGTTGAAGTCCATATACACCCATCCCACAATTTCAGGCCCCACAGTGCAGAGAAATGTCCCTTTCCAGCAGCATAGACAGAAGAATTTCATCTCTGCTCGCCTCTCCAGATGGCCAATATTGGGAAACCATGAGCAGTGCAATCTCCAGACATCCTCCTTGCTCAGCATGGATACTTTTACTTTGCACACATTGCTCTCGGAGCAGCAGCCAGACCGGCTGGTCACTGCCAACATATGTAGCCCCTGTGCCTGTTCAGTCCAGGCATTCCTCTCATTTTAGACAGAGGAGTGTTGCTATTCAGTTCTTCCTTTTGCTTTACTAGCACTAGTGGAATATTGAAACTACTCCCCCCAGTTGCTGCCATTCAGCTTCCCCTTTCCCATCATTAGAAACACCTCCTTTATTGGAAATTGCATTTAAGACAAGATTTGGAACAAATAATTTGATTGTGCCTGCTGATGCGCTGCCTCAGCACTGTGCTGAGTCAACACCCGAAGCCATCTTCCTCTCATCTGCAAACAGCTGTAAAGAAAAAGGCCACTTCTATATAATCCCTTAACAAGTAGGAGTTAAATAATCTAAACACCATTCAGCTGTCAGTAATACAATCTCTTATATTTTGCACTATTTTCAATAATTTAAAGACATTCAATCTATAGCCAGTTTGTTGAGACGGTCAGAGTTACAGTTCTGTTTCTGCAGTCATTCCAATACATGTTACTTGCTTCATTTACCTGCCCAAACCCCACACACCTCACAGTCAGTACAAGTGATTGAGTTGTTTTTATGACATGCTGTGACAGTGAAAAATATTTGCGTGTGAATAGCATTCTAGGCAATCCATGCTGAATCTTCATTCAAAACAATCCTAAAATGCATGCATTATAAAAACAGGATCCGTCATAAATCACTGTTCTCTTAAGTTATCTCGCATTTTTCTTCTAACTGACACTGTTTAGATTTTATCATCAGCCAATTACAATAATTACATACAGGCTTGCTGCAGCAGATAACTGTAAAACATAATAAATCTAAAGACATTTGTAGAGAGTTACCCATTCAATGAAAACCACATTTAAACTTCAGTATGTAAGCAACTTAAACATCCTCTTTCAGCCCATAAAGACTCTTCAGACTTTCAGTACTATTTATATTGCTTTTTTTCATCTGAATTTGGCAACGTAAGCGTATATAATCTCACACACCCTTATCCTAGCCAACTTGGATTCTGGTATGCAATGAAGCACGGGCTAACTCACACTAAGTTCTTCAAGTCAGCTTAAGGGAGTTTAATGCCACACTCCCTTAAAGTCCTTAGGAAAAAAACCACTCAAAACTCCTAGAATGGCAGCATTCCCGGATCTATTAATTGCCAGTGATTAATGAATCAAATAGGACAGTTATCTTGAGACAGAAAAATAACTACTGAAGATTCAAAAGAAGTCAAGAAAACATTTTTCTCCCTGGCTCTACACTTTAAAAGCAGCCCCTCATCTCAGACTACAAATAGTCACACGTCAAAATACATTTTAAGCCTTAGTAGTACCTCAAAACCCTACATTATTCTTACGAATAATGCCATTACCAGCAACATGCTCTGGTGTTCTTCTTGCACATGAGAATGTGACACCTGAATATCAGGAAGTACTGAAGATAGTATCATTGAGACTAAATTACACCTGTGTGTGGTGTAATTACACCATCGATATACTGTGCAAGGAAAATTCTTCAACTTTGACATCACTTTGCATACCTGGTAGAATAAATTCCAACCTTTTCTCTCATTAATTACAACAATTGCAATGGTGTTTTGGGGGTGATTTAGGCCATTGTATGTTCAAGACCAAAATAAAACTACCAACTTCTTTCACAGGAGAACCAGTCTGTATTGCTGTGACACTGAGGAGCAGTGCTTGGTTCTTTTGAATTGGTGGAAACACAGGTTTCTATGTTTTTCAGTTTCGGGCAAGCTAATATAGTTCAGAGACTGATAAGATCATACCATAAACAGATCTAATTAACATTTTTAATTTCAGCCACAGAAATCAGAAGCATGACTTACTTGGGTCTCGACTGCTGTACGGCCATCCTGAGGCAGGTAAAAAAGATGGCATTGGAGAACTTGCCCTGCTGTCATCCTCCACTTGCTGCGTAATATGCCGCACAGTTTCTTTATTTTTCCGGTTCTTCCTGCGCCCAGTGGGTTGCCAGCCATCCCCTACTCCTTGTTCTGAGAAGGCGTTCTGTATTGCACTATCCTTGGCAGAATGTAGTTCACTCCCTCCATAGTGTGACGGTGAAACCTGTTCCTCTTTGATACGTAAAGACCCATAGCCCATGTCACTAGACCAAAGAGACTGGGATGAAATGTCTTCGTGGCTGTCTGTTTTTGGTTCTTGATCCTCTTTTCCATAACTACTCCCTCCTTCATGGCAACTGGCAATAGCTGAATCTCCAGAAGAGTTTGCTGGACTCGTTCGCCGAGCTAACCAGGGAGATATACTCCTGCCAGCCACGACTGCTGAAATCAAAGCATCCGTACTACTGCTGGAAGGGGCCCCGAGTTCATAATCAACAAGGTCATCTGAGGCATCAGACTTTATGCTTATGTCGAGAGCTGCTTTTATGAAGCTGTGACAGGCTTGTACAATATCTGTCATTTGCAGATAGCTAGCAGCTGACATCACCTCAATGACGTTTCTGCTGGTCAGTGCTAGGTGTGCAGAATACATGAAGTCAATGATTGCTTTAAAGCCTTGTGCAGTTACAATGTCTAAATGGGTGACTGTGGCCTGGTCGGACGTTTTCTGTACCTGGCAGTACAGCGTTTTGAAGTAGCGACTACTCCCAAGCAGAACGTTTTTGTGAGCCTTAAATATCTTCCCCTCCACTATAATGCAAACATCACAGAGGATGCCGTGTTGTCTCTGCTCGTTAAGCTCACGCAGCAGATGACGGTAGTGGGAAGCAATCTCCATATCTTCCTTTCGGTTATTCATTTGGAAATCTTTGTGTTTCCTCTTCCACAAGTCCTGTAAGGAGAAGGAAATGACAGTATTACAAAATTCAATACAAGCTTACAGACGTGTTTTTCAAAGACCGAGACAAACCCCACGTTGTACCAAATTAAGTAACAGGTTCATCTTGAAAGAATGCCACAAAACACAACTACTGCCTAGAAAGACCGCACATTCATCACACGATGCAGCTTATTTTTACCAGACTTCAAATAATTTACATTAAAAGGGACTAGACTTGAAGGTCAATCCTCCAGTGGCTCATAACATTGCAGAGAAACATTTCTTTAAATTACTACAGGCTTGTAAGAAAACCTGTCTTAAGTTACTTGGGTAAAACAGCTGTCAGTTTTTACTGTTTGGGTTCAGTAAAGTTTGGTTTTGAAAGAGGTACTGCACTTGAAACCATGCTGATGGAGACAAACTATTGAAGAGCACTCTGTAACACAATTTCCTCAAGGGAACAAGCATTATGTGTAGCACACTGAATAGATGAAATTCTCAAACAGCAAAAGCCCATTGAAACCAGCTATTTCCCTTGCTATATCACCGTTGAGGGGCTATAAATACTGTTTTCAAGTCAGAAGAGCAACAGGCAAATCCAAGACCACAGATCACAAAATTTTAAGTCCCCACCCAAACTAAACGGGCAATAGATCAGAACTATGAAATTAATGTTATCTGAAGCTTAACTACTAATAAGCACAGTACTTTTGACTTTACAATAAAATGGTTTATTTCCTTGGCTTTACATCTCTAAGTTTACCCCACAACCATCCTAAAATACTGGGCAGACAAATTCTAATAATCACCTAAACACTCATGTTTAGAAAGGATGCTTATGACCAAAATAACAAAGCATCCATCAGGCTGCTAAGAACTCACAGGACTTTTGATCACCTTTCATTAAATTTGACAGTATGTCCCCCAAAAAAGCTAGATAGTGCCAGCAGCACAGCAGAGACCTGTGTCTTAAGTTATGTTCCAAACTATCCTCCTCTTACACCCCAAACCAGAAAAAGATGATCTTAAACGTAGTAGATATGTCAACAGTAATCAGTGGTGCTAATATTTTCAGATTGAATTTTATCCCACCTGCAAAATACAAATACATGAAAAGTAATACATCAATATGGACGAGCGCATACATACATTTCTCACAGCATTCAGTAAGACACTCCTACCACACAGTTCAGTCTGTTGTCCATTCAGCATCATCAGAAACTGCCTGCCCTTCAACTTCACTGGGATCAGGCATATCAACACATTTCATCTCTCAAGTGACATGACTTCAAGTTCACAACATTCCAGGCATTAAGGATGGATGCTGCCAGCACCAGAACAGGCCAATGAAGTACTCTCCACAACACCATACCTCAGCAGTTACTACCTTTGTAACTCCATACTCGCCTTTACTGCCACAGCTTTACATTAATTTCTGCCATTTTATCTAGCTTATACCACTTATTTCAAACTATCAAGATTTATATACTGTGTTTACAACAGTGGTTTAATGGTCCAACTAATTAAGAGTGCTGAGCTGCCATACAATGTGAAGGATACCTACTCCCTTCTTTCAAAAACTTCAATTTGTTCTCATATAAGAAGTTCCAACTGTAAAATTGTTATGTGGGTCCACATGTCAACATACAACTGTAAAATTGTTATGTGCTGACAAGACCAAATTCCAACTGTAATTACGGGCAGGCGCACACAGCAGAAGCCTGGATTTAGGCTATTGGTGGTTGTTGATAAAACCAAAAATCACTGTACTTCTGAGGTCTTACGATCTTGAAGCATACACGGTTAAATATAAGCACTGTCAGTATGGAGGCTGATGTGAACTTGAATCAAGTTTCTAACATACATCGAGTTCAAACACAAATTCAGTCCCATCTGTTCAAATCAGCTCACAGCAGCGGGCAGTCCTAGGACAGCCACTTCCTGACACATGGAAGTGGGTTTCCTGTACTGCGGAATACAGATCCTTAAGACCTCTGCCCCCTTCCCCTAGTCTGTGCTATTATTATCATCTACAGGAGCAAAATAGCTACAGTTTAGCCAACACTATTGGTTAGAAAACAACCTCTCAGCCCACAGAACGTACGTGACGCAGGATCTCTCCTCTAGAGAGCCACCTGATGATTCAAAAGTTCAAGTTATGCAAGATTGCCTGCATAAGCTTCTTCAGTTCCACAAGAATGGAACTGTCTTCAGCAGTGTCAGAAATACTAATTTGCAAGACCAGCTGGTCCCTGACACATTGAGAAGCATTTGCTTCCCTCAAGAGAGGAAGGACCATCTTTCTGCAACACAAACAGGCTGAACTGGTGTTCCTCCACTTCAAATCCATACAGCTTTTCTACAGAATTAAGCACAGAATACACAAAGAAACTAATTTTTTTTTTTTTAAATTTGAACTGGAAAAGGTCAATAATAGTGTAGCTCTACACTATCTTAATGACACTACCTATTTACCATTGAAATCTGCCTGGAGATCTCAAATCAAGCTCTCACACAGAAGCCATCTCCATCTCAAATAAATACATGAAATAAAGAAATAAAAATCAAACCAAGAATCAGAGTCAGGGAGTAAAAAAAAGAAAACCAAACCAAACCAAACAAAAAACCCCCCCCCAAAAACACCAAACCCCCTGATTTTTCAGGTGTTTGGCCAGAAATGGCTGTGCTAGAACCAGCCAGCACAGCAGCTCTAACCCAGGCTCTGAAGGTGGCAGCCACCGCTTCCCAACATCTCCACGTTTGAGAGAACCACCTCTTAAGGCAGAATGACAGTTCAGTTTTGTCTTTATTCCAGAAACCACTACCGCATCTACTTTTAGGAGTTGAAGAGTCAGCTTAGTCCCCTCAGGAAATATGAATTGCCACATAGGATAAAGTGAGTTGTCCATCACCAATCCCATCTTCAACAGCTGCCATATCCACACAATTCAGAAGACGATGCAAGAAAACCTCACAGCATACAAAGTGATCAGATGGTTTCAGATATGGCATTCTTTTCCTGTTCCTTCACAGGTACCAAAATCCATATTCCAAGGCAGCATCTCCCTGGAATTGGTTGGGGAAAAAATACAGACTCCTGCAAGGGTAAATTTTTTTTCCCTCAATTTAATACAGATTAGCATCAGGAGTATTTGTCAATGTCTTCACCTGCTTTTGTGAATTTATGCAACAACAGCTTTTCTTTTTGAATGTTTTTCACCTAGAAATTATAGATTCCTTGAGATTTTATTTCTTTACTATTTCATATATTTATGCAGCTTAGTTCAGTGGGTTGGGTTTCCCCTCACTGTTGATAACTCTATTTTAGATACACCTTGTCCTTTGTTTAAGCTGCCTATGGCAGAAACCCAGCTTAAAATATATTTCTCTTGTTACCTTTGGTTTAGACTGGACCAGTTTGAGGTTCAGGCATTGACTAATCTGGTGCTTTTTACGGATGAAGCACTTGCTAGCCTCTTTAAGAAATAGCTTTATTCTGACTTTATTTCCTATCAAGGATTTTTACTAAACATGCACACAGAAGGAAAAAAAAAACAAAAAACAAACCAAACCTATGCAAGATTCCTTACTGGCCTCCCTCCCACCCGCCAAGCTCTTGACAGAAGACACCCTCCAGGCAAGCCATAGATGAACAAGAGCGTGTCATTACAGTAAGATCATACAGTCCTTGTGTCTTACTTGCCCACATTGCCAAGGACACCGGGGACAAGAGCAGGAGGTGGGTAGGTACCTTTTGGACAAGAAAGTAAAAATACTTGACATTCTAAGATACAATGAATATAAGAAAACAAGTAAAAATAATGACAATATACATTCCTCTACGCAAAGAGAGGACAACTTGTCCTTGTTCCAAAATACCTTAAGTATGAAGAGATACAGAGATGAATGGGGAAGATGCCCACCAAAGAACAGCATCCTTTCCACTAGCAGGTGGGCATGTTAGAGCACTTTCAAGTATGTAAGCAATGATGTGGATACTCCCATGTTCAGTCTAATCAATAAAATTTAACATCTTCCAAATCCTCTGTCTAAAGGTCTGCTACCTTATACACATTGTTCCACATTCAACATTCGTCAGCATTGTACCTTTCAAATGAGAGGTCTTTGGGGGAGAAAATTAAATATGCCTCAAATTCAGAGGAATTAATTAGTTTTCTGTCTACCTATGTCAAACCAGAACATCCGTTTAATGTCAAGGATCACTAGGGAATTAATCCAAGTTAAATTTAAGGCAATTTGCTAGTAGTTAAAAATTCAGGAAGCTTCAAACCCCTGTGCTCTTGTGTTCCAATTTCACATGCTGTTTTGTGGCTTGTTGTTGGGGTTTTTTTTGTTTTCCCCTTTTCCTGGTAACGATATTTATCTCCACTTAAAAGATGTTGTGGAAAGATTTCTTCAGAAAAGCAGTACCTTTCAAACTTCTAGTAGAAGCATGGTAGAGACAGAATAAACCACAGAGATTTTTTTTTTTAGAAACAGACCTCGAAGATCAATGATATATTTTTTGTTTTATCTCAAGTCTTTTTAGTACACTGAAGGATTTCAAAGTTGAGGACCTACTAAAATCCTTTAGGCCTGGGCCTGCAATGACAGCACATGGCCACAACACAGCCTTCCAAGAAGCCAACGAACCATGAAAGCTCATCTGTAGATTTTCCACAAAATAAACTGTAGCAGTCAGGCTTTCTTCATAAGTCAATTCACAGACAGTACAGTAATTCAAGTCTATTACTTTTCCAAAAATAATGAAAAAAAAAAGTAGTCCCTAAACAAACATACTTGCATATAACAGTAACAAGAACAAAACACGAGCAGATTTAATAATCACTTTCATGCAAACTTCTGTCAAAATACAGGTCAGCTTTTTATTTTTCATGTTGTCAATAACCTAGTCTTAAAGTAAGCATTAATAATTTATATAATCCTTAACCCTAGCTAGAAAGAACCTTGTTCTACAAATATAGCATCTATGAAAACTGTTTATTTTGCACTATCAGTACAGTTATTTGAACATGAAAATATCACCTGGTGACATAGTAAGAGTCTAAACAAACACAATCTTCACCTAACGTTGGAAGGGTTTTGAAAAGAGTAACCAGCAATACTTACAAAGCCAACCTTTCAGCATACATACCCATAATAAGTCTCCTGACCAAAATCTTAACACCAGTAAAATTAAGGAGTACAAATCTGTTGCATCTAAAACTCAGTGCATTATTTCAATTTTGACAAAAAGCCACAGACAAGAGTACACAGATGAAAGCCTCTACAGTACAGTCCTCTGGGAAATAGTGGGGACAAAAAATAAACTCCCTTCACTCAGAAGGAAAACAGGAAAAAAAGAAGGAAAAAAACAAGAAGAGGTTTTTGTTGTTGGTAGGTTGTTTGTTTGTTTACTTTTTGCTCTCACAGAATATAAGCAAACCAAAAATTTAAACTGTATGACATTTAGTCTATTACAATTTTCTAAACACGTTTCTACACTTAATACTAAGGACACAAGTTCTAGATATTCACTAGTCCACTCCTCCACCAACCACTCTCTGTTCCCTAGAGAAAACATGCCAACTGGAATTTAACCAAAAATGTGTTGTTTCCTCCCCCCTCTCCCTTCAGAGAAAAGTAAAAACAGATTAAGGAAGAACTCAAATTCACTCCAATGGTTTATTATACAAAACCCCAACAAACACACCCCACTTCTCTGCTTCCCCTGTGTCCTGTCCATGTCTCCACTCCCAAGACATTCCAACATTTTTTAAATTCCTCTGCAAAGGAGCTCTGTAAGGTGAGATTGGGCTTGAAAAGCCTCCTTGCACAACAAGACACAGCGTGTATACGAGTTTTATTTTTATCCAATTAAAGACAACAGAAGTGCATAGGATTCCTCCTACCCATGTGCCCTGTGCTGAAAAAAATGGGGAACAAAACACCCCAACATAACCTTAGCAACTGAAAAGGACAGTACCTATACTTATTCTCCTAAATGAGAGAGCTAGCAGAAGACTCAGGATATTAACAGATGCTAACTCCTGGCAAAGAGCTTTACAAGTACCAATCTCCACAAGTAAAGTGTTTTCTCATAAGCACGCTTGAAGAAGAGCACTCAATTCTAGAAGAGTTTTAACTTCTTGATACTAGATACTCCAAAATTACATTTGTACATTCAGCTTTGTTCAAAGTAGATGCAAGTAACAGCTTATGAAAATTAACAGTTGCCAAAAAAAGAAACTCTTCTACCCTATTTTGATTCACAAAACTGATTGTTCGTTGTTTAAGTTGGGTCATTCCAACCACAATCCTGAATTCAAAGAGAAACAGGCAGATGTTTGTAAACAGACCAAACCAGACCCTTGGGCCAAAGAGGTTATTCACAACTCACAGTTTCATGAAAACAACAGTGTACCACTTTTCCCTTATGACTAGGAATGAGAATGTTTAATTACAGCCCAACGGTGCATGTTCATCCTTACGGGTTAGGAGTCACAGGAAGAAAATAAAAGTTTCATCATTCATTCATTTGAGACATACTACAGAATTACAGAAAAGGTAAGAATTTGGGAGGCAAAGAATTTTCACTGAACATAAAAAAATCCCAAACTAGTTATATTTTTATTATGACACTTGAGAGGTCCACTCAATTCTCATAAAAAAACCAAAACAAAACAAAACCCCACAAGTTCCTTCCAGTATTTAACTAAAATCCACCTGATGAGGATTCACTAAGATTTCTCCAATTTGAAGCCAATGCTACCCCATCATCAACAGCATTAACACATCTCCGCTTAGCATCTCTGTAGTAGTTACAGTCCAAAAGCCCCCAAGTTCAAACAGCAGCAAGGCAAGCATAACACCTTCAATAGCTGTAACACTCCGGCAAAGAAATCATTTGCTCAATCTGCCAGTTCTCAGGGCAAAGAGACTTCAACTCCCCATCTGTCCAGGTTAGATTTAGTCAGGAAATACAATACATTTAAGACCTCATCAGTTTGCAGTTGCTTCTACCATGAAAATACATAGATCTGAATGCAATTAGGAATTAAAAGGAGGCCAATTTCAGCAAAGAGAATAAGAACAGGTAAAACACTACACGCTTCTAGCCATTCGTATCATCAAAGCTTTGTTTCTGCAATTCAAACACAAACCACAAGCAAAATCTTAACTGCAACAAGCAGAACATAAAATAATAGGGAGCGTTAAACATTTCACTAGAGACTTGGCTTTGGCCTTTGACCTGCCAAACCATCTACCTGATGTTATGGGGCCAGCTATAGCCTACAGAAGCTGCACACTACAAAAGTGCAACCAAAAGATAGAACTTCTGAAGATATCCTAGAAAAATCCATTTATTAACTTTCATTGGTTCTGACAGCGTATGAAGAATTCCAAGAGAAAACCAAGTCTGGAAATGAAAGTTAAGGGAAAACTGTTAGCCTCCACATTTTGGAAGGAGGTCGATTAGACATTAGAATTAGAAATTCAGAAACTGTAAAGTTAAAGTAGGAGAAGGGAGGAAAAAAATAAGAGAGAGACCAGAGATGCACATTTTGCTATAGTATGCAGTGAAAAGATCTGTGGTGATTTTGTTAGCAAAAGCATGCAAACTTTACTGTTAAATAAATAAATAAAATCCAAGACAATTACTTCTTACCAGTAACAAATTGGGTTCCAGGTCTGGTGTTTCTCCTACAACAGCTGAGGACATCAACAGCCCTAGGGCAGCACAGGTAGTGCGCTCTTCTGTGACCCTCCAATAGCGCTGGTATGAACTCTTGTAGGAGAAAGATAGAACTATGATAAAAACAAAACCAAAGGAAGTTATTAGCATTAAACTACAAGATTACTAAACAACAGTGATACATTTTTTAAGCGCTTTCCCTCCAAACTCAGTTATAACACCTCTTTTTATGACAATGAGCCCCCAAAAATGTTAACTCAAAGTGTATCAATACATTGCAGGTAATTAAATCCTGGTTACCTTTTTGCAATAATATAAGCAAGAGTTACTTCTTAAAGTATGGGGAAAAAAAGTCTAATTTTAGATACTAAAACTTCAAACAGATCCTTGAAACAACAGTGTTTCCTGTTTGGTAGCTTTTCAAAACATTCTCACTTTAATGACTTTTTAAAGAGACATTTGTGGCACTAATTCACCTTATCTGACCCCTAAAACACCGAGGTTAAAAAGCTACCAATGCAACTCCTGGGGGAAAAAAAAAAACCAAACAAACCAAAACCAAGTTTGCAATGGCATATTCAAGAGAATTTCCTCTTAAAATGTTTAATGGCCAGTTTCTACTGGCTGACACCATTCTAGGTTAAGAGATTGATGATTTTAAAAATTCTGTGTAAAATATAGTTACTTAGGTATAGTAAGGCACCTTCACAGATTGACTTCTCAGATAAAATATTAACATTTATGATTACGAGATATAAAGAATAGGAATAGTTAATCTGCACAAAGTTTTTTTGTCAGCGAGGACGCATCTACTATAATTATCATCTTGTACACCTGTTTTTCTTAGACAAAACAGACTTTATTTTCTTCAGAATAGCGTATTCACTACACTTGCAACATTTAATTTCAACTAGAACTTCTGACTACACTTTATTCAAAACTTTATGCTGTTTATCTACTGTTAGTCATTACAGCAAAGTATTTGCCATATATTTCTGATCTCTGTATTTCAGACATCTTCAACAGACAGATTAGCGCTCTCAGTGAAAATAAGCTATAAATCAATATTGTTGATTTCAAGACTGACCTTCTGTAGTAGCAGATTGTGAAAGAAAACATAGGATAAAAATTAAGAAAGCTTTTCCAATACAAACTAATGTCATTATAAATGGTGAAATAACATATCTAGTAAACAAATGAAGTAGTAAGGAAAATCCAAGCATTCTTATGGCAACAAGCAGAACTGTGAAAATCTTGAAAACAAATATGACCCAATTGAAGTAAATACCATTGACTTTGTTCTCAATTTCTATTTCAGACTGCCAAGTCTTGCCTTTCTCTAATTCTGATTGCTTCTCCATAGCAATTGTTTTGGCTAGCTCTTTTTAGTCCTGTTATTTAGACAGTTAAAAAAAAAAAAAATAAAGTGGGGGAGTGAGGGAGCCAGACCAACACGGACATGTGGGAAATTACTTTGTTAGCAAAGTGGAAGAGTAATACCTATTTTCACTTAGTCTTAGGATTGTTACTGTTACGACTCTCAGTTATACCTCTGTCCTAGAATCACAAAATAAGCCAGAATAGTCTGGTAAGAATGGTAAAGCTGAGACAAACTATTTTGTGCTGCTCTGCATTCTCTCTTTTTGCTTTGAGCTCTGCACCTGTTTTCCTCTTCTAATCGAAGAGAACCAAGTGACCATGATGAATGGAGGCAGCCCTACCACAAGGTAGGAGCAGAAGAATAGCTAGAGGTATTTCAACTTTCGCAGTTGAGTAAGATTTCTAAACCAGCCTTTGTTATCAATGCTAAGTTAAAACTTGTAAAGAAATGTAAGTCCTCATGACAGTGTTATCTCCAGCTACTCCTCCTTTTTCCCTTACCACATTACAAAAATAGCTTTAAATGCTGAGAACTTACCAGTATTTGAAAATGTTTTCTCTTAGCAAAAATAAACGTCACGATGTTTCACAGCTGGATAGTGCATGATTTAATGAACAGAGGAGAATGGTCTCTGGTAACAAGCTCCAAAAGGTTCATCAGATGTCCTGTATTTGGGAATGGAAAGAATAGGAAGCAAAAATTAAAATCTAAACTTTAACTTAATACAAAAACCTTCAGTGTCACATAATTACAAGCAACAGTTAAAATAACTGCACATGTACAACACTGTTTGCCATTTCGAACAAGAAATATTCTGATTTATAGGAAATATGCTCTGACATGGAGGAAAAATTATGTAGCTCTTGTGTTAAAGAAAGAGTTTAACATGCAAATTTTAAGACTATTAACATCTGACTATGCTTTGACATAAGTGCTTTGAAGAAGTCACTGTAAAAAAACAGTACTTTGTATGAGGATTTCAGTTTTAACAATATCGTTTGTTCTAGTTAACATTATAAAGTTTCAGTTAATGTTTCTGCAACACCTGCCATCCACACACTTTAAATGGGGTTAGTATTAATCTAACCTCACAGTTACAGTGATTCCCCTCCAAACCAAAATATTTGCCTGAGGTTACAGAAAAATTATGTGCCTGCATTATACAAAAGTAAGATATTCGAGTTCTATTTCCACCCAACTCAATTGAATCACAGCTTTCAAAAGCCAGTGTCACCCTTAAGTTAAAGAACAACATGCATAGAAGTACTAAGCAGTTTGTTCCTCTTACAAAATTTAAAAATTTTGAAAAAAGAAAACCCACAAAGATACAGAAAAAGGTGCAAATGCCTAACAGAAAGTAAAAGTTTTATCTTCCGTGCCTGTAAAAGCTATGCAGGCTGAAATACAATATTCCAACAATTTGCTAATACAACAGGATGCACCTTTCTTTACAGGGCACTAAGTGCATGCTCTAGTTCAAAATGCTTACTTGCGGTAATATTTCTTTGTATTTCCTTTGCATTTCACTTACTCATTTCCCCATAACTTCCAACTCTGTCCATGTGCCTCTCTTTCCATCCTCTCCCTCCATCATGGTACAGAAACAGTTGCTCGTATCACTCCCCTATTTTTGTTCTCTCTCTCATCTGGTCGCACCAAGAGAAGAACAGATCCAACACTACCCATGCCACAGACCTTGCAGAACACAGTAAGAACATGGAAGAGCTAGCCAGCACTTAAAGAGTAAGTATCTTACAGGGTACCAGGCTTGAGAAGTCTGGTGATACCAAAAAAAAAAAAAAAAAGTAGTAAAAATTTAGCTGTATCTCTGTATCTGCTACACTAGCAGTGAAGATTAAAAAACACCCTGAAAAAAATCCAAGTGCCTATGGCTAGTATGACACTTACCTGTCCAAGTGCCATTAACTCCTACAAGATCTTAAGCTTTCACTTAGAAGCAAAAAGAGTCACAAAAGTAATCTAAGCAAAAAGACTTTGCCATTGTGCAACTTTGCCATTAGACAAAAAACCCCCATAAAAAGCACCTTAAAAGAAAAAAAAGAGGATTAAAGAACTGCAAGCACGTCACACTGGGAATTGCCCTGAAGAATGGTTCCCCCAAAACTTTCTCATTGGTTTTTGGCTTTTGAAGTAGGGGATCTTTGCTAAAGTTCCCAAACTCAGTACGTAAAGAGGGAGGGAGCCAAAGAAGGAGGAAGAATCATAAGGTAATTTTTAAAGAGAAGTATAGCAGTGGGAGGAACTGAGGGACCTAAAAGACAGAAAAGACACATAAGGAGTAAGGAATAATCCAAAAGTAAAAAATCAACTGGTGCAAATTTAAAGATAACATACGAGGTACTCTGTGAACAATTTAATTTCATTTGTGTGATTCGTGGCACAAGCACTTAGTGCCTTGGGTAATTATCCCTTTTTACTTTTTAGTATAAATCTCAAAATCCAGATTTGATCAACTATTATTAAAAAAAAAAGAAAAAAGAAAAAGAAAAAAAGTGGAGTGAAGCCAAGAAGGATACAGTGGTAATAAGAAGGAAGTCAATAAGCTAGTTTTATATTTAGCCACCACCTCATTCTCCAATACTATAGTGGCAGGACTTTTAGGAGTCCTGCATCCTGACTACTTCATTTATCAGTACTTAAATTAGTTGGTGTCGGGTTTGGGTATTTTAAGCACCTAATGGCTAATACAGACCATCGATTCTTCTCTTTCAGAGCATGATTTGAGCACTAGTCAGAAAGGTATTTCCTCCACTGGTGTATTAGTGCAAAAGGTGCAAATTTTATTTAACCCTTTCCTCAGAGACTGAGCTAACCACCTGAAATATCAACTCTTTTTCTGCGGAGTTCGTTACCACAAGGTGAGAAACACCAGGAAGCAAACTCGCTTGTATGGGATAAGTACCCTGTTCAACACACGAGGAGGAAATAATTAGGAAAGATAATTAAGTATTTAAGTATACACAGGTATAAACATATTCTTTAATACGCAAAACCCTACTCACTTTTCTAAGTAGGGTTCTTAAGCAGCTAAGTTCCTGGCACACACACTGACATTCTTGTTACTAAGTTTATTTTAATCCATACACAAGCTAGTAGCTGTGTTTGTAGAATATTTCTGACACCTTGGTGCCTCCCTCCATTGCAGGAGACCCCAACTCAGTTTTACTATAAAGCAAATGCTAGGCAACTTCCAACATTTGCAGAATGTTTTTCTTCCCGAGTACCGACACAAGCCAAGTAAGTAGTAACAGGACAGGAGGGATCACCACTGTACCGGCTGGAATAAAAGTGAGCCATATCCCCAACAAGCAAGGCAAAAAGGTGAGTTTCAGCTCTAACTTGGCGTCTACCTGTTACATTTCAGCAAAGCTGCCGCTCCTCTCCGCAGCTGTGCTGCTGGTTCCAATGCATTCGTGCATCCTTACCTACGCGCAACAGAACACCGCAAACTGGAACGCATTTCCATCTAATTAGAATTACTGTCAAGGATCTCACCCTGCCTGCGAAGCACTCAGAAGCTATTCAAAACCAAAATTTCAACAGCAGTCAAAACATAAACTGATGTTTCTTAAATATATGGATATGAAAGAAAGTTCAAGCAACTGTTCAGAAAATAACTGCACCA